CTATACGAAGTTATTACGAGGGAGAAAGAGAAGAAGAGCAGAACGATAGGTAGGGAGGCGGATGTTAAACTTTGCACACTGTTCCATCGAGAAGCTGCACACGAAGGATCGTCGCAACACTTCTTCGTCTTTGCTTGTGACGCGTCCGTGAGGGAGAAGATCGAGACGCGGATGATCGACGACGAGGACGAAGATCACGATGTTCAGATAATGTACGGGCGAGATGAAGGCTTTCCGGAAGCTATTCGCTTAAAAACACGCTCGGCGGTGTCGTCGAGAGAAAGAGGAAGTGTACCTAAGAGTGCTGAGAGTGCTAAGAGAAAACTGTTTATATCGTATTTTGCTTTGCACGTTTATAAATGCCGACGCATTTCTCGGGGAAGGAGCTAGGAAGCAAACGAGAAGAGCAAGCGGAGTTCGACGTGGAGAAGAGAGAAGCCGAAACTGAAAAGGACATGAAAACGCAAGTCTTTCGGGTGCGAGTGTTCAAGATACGGAGCGAAGAGCGGAGTAGCAAGTATATATAAAAAACGCTCTCCGCTCGTTAGCAGCGCGAGATCTTGAGATGAATGACTTGAATGAATGTTTGAAGAGCGCGGATGATCAAGATTTCCAAGAAGAAAAAAAAAACGGAGGAAGAAAATGTCTTTTTGAATACAAAAGGCGCCAAAAAAAAAAATTGTAAGTGTGGAGATGAAATCAGTGAGCGAGAATGCGAGAGAAAGAGAGAGCGTGTGTATGCATGTACGAAAGATGCTAAGAAAGAAAAAGAGAAAGAGAAGTACGAGAAAGTTCGATGGAAAGAAGAGGCTGAAGAAGACGAAGATGAAGAGGCGAAGGCGAGCGATCGAGAAATTTTAGCGTGCAATAATAACGGCCGGAAGATCTCCGGCGGAGGAAAACGAAGCGGAATGAAACGCCGCAGAAACTTCAAACTCCTCGGTCAAAGCGGAGAAACTTGGAGAGGCGTTTTTAAGAGACGAGATCGAAGCGTTCCGTGTGAGTTTTACCAGAACTTTCCGTCCCCACGACTTCCAGAGCTATATCTCAGCGCAGCACAATTATACGCCTATCCGCACGGGGACGGAATTCACATGTTTCGCGACGTTTTACGCGAGTCGCGCGTCTCGCATATCCGTATCATCAAGTGGAAGGAGAGCGATCCGGAAGATGATGCTGGATGATATAGAAACAAAAGAGGAGGCGACGAGCCGTGGACTCGTCCGACGAGTTTCGAGTGAAAGGTGCTGCCGAGAGAAGAATCCTTGAGGCTTGTACGCGAGTCGAAGAGGACGGAGTCAACATCTTCCCGTTCCCGCAAGAATGAAGGAGGAAATCGTCAGGATGGAGCAGAATAAATTTTTCATCGTCCCCGTTTCCCTTTTCCCCTTTTCCCTTTCCCATTCCCCAAGTTTTCTCCGAAACAAAAGAAATTCTTTTACGAAAAAAAAAAAAAAACCTGACAAATTCTAATCTAACACGCAAGTTCGGCAGTCCTCAAGATTTGCAAGATACTACACGAGAGAATCACTTTTATTTTTATTTTCCCATCCCTTCTATCCCGTTCAAAACAGATTCTTTCGCATAATCCTTTTATTTTCTTTAGGGTCCCTTCTGGGATCCCCAGAAGGGACCCGCAAATACATCAGGATGGAGCTGCATCTGCTCAGTTGAGGCAATAAACAAACTGTCCTTTTCAGGACAACACTCAAAACTGCCCTTTTCAGGGCAAGGAACATTCGAACGAGCATCGAGCAATAAAACTTTCCTTATATATTTCCTAAACGCTAAATTATCTTTTCAGATTACGTTTTGATTACAGGCGCGGAGGTAAGAAAAAATATTTTTCATAATATATTGCACAGAATTTACAGAATATGTAATAAAATTTTCGATTAATATTCCGTGTTTGACAAAACTGAATCATCCAAATGGTAAAAAATTTGTTTTGTACTGCTCAAATATATACATATAACAATGTTTAATCTTTAGTTTTACGTGTTTCAGAGATAATCTTGGAATGTAGTAAGTGTTTCCTATCTTAAAACAATATCTTCCAATCCAAGATAAATGCATTATCAAGAACTGTGTCATCATCGCTTATCTGTAAAGGAAAACGCTGTGACGCGTAAAGAGGGTTCAATGTTTCAAATAATTTATTTCAGTAAAAACATATATATGTATGTATGTATGTATGTGCAATACAATAACGTATAGTGTCAATCCATTCAGCACATATCACAAGCAATTGCGTCAGCCGGAGATGTATTCAAAACAAGTGACGTGGAAATTTCCATACTCCAACGTTTGCGCGGACATCTCCAACAGCCAGCATATCTCTGCAAGTGAAATAAACGTAAATATTTTGAATGTATAATTTTGTTTAATCAATATCACAATCTGTTGCGTTGTTACTTGTAATATTAATCACATTTCATGCAATCAATGAACTTCTTAATTGTTTTTTACACATCGTGGATAAAAAATAATTAAGAATAATATATTAGCTCTTGTGTTTGCATTCTTAGCAATTGTCTAATGGTACATCAAGACATGGAAATTAAGCGTTTGGACGCAAAGTTAACATTTTCTCAAAATTCTATTTGCGATACAATTTCGTTGCCAATTTTATTGCCAATTTTATTTTAGGAATCTCAGCTGTTTATGACGTATAAATATGTAGTGTACAAACAAAAATAGTTGTACTCTCTACAGAGCAGAACATTTGCTGAAAGAGCTATAAAAGTTCTACCGTATCTAAAAACAAAAGGAGAGAAGGAGGAAGTTTTTAAACAATGAATCATCCGGATTTAATTATCTCGTACGTACGCATACCTCTTGGAATTGATGCGTAAGCTGCTGATACTTTCTTTGCCAGTGACCTCGAAATTCGCGCACGTTATGGACTTGCCGTCTGTGACGTTGTAGAATTTTATAAACGCGTCTGCTCCATACGCCGCGAATATATCTTGATTGCCGATCATCCATATTAATCCCACGACTGTATTGTCAATAGAAATGGTTCGCTGACTAACATGCTACGTGTGCGCCCATGCAACACACAACATAATTTAGAAACGAGTGTCAATTACACAAAAGGGGAAAGTACATTAAATAACAGATAAAATAGTAATTGAGAAATAAAGGATCAAATTGAATTAATACTTATTTCCGCAGGGGACAAATTGATTATTATATAGCAATATTTGAATAAAACGTGATACGGAAAAATTACCTCATCCAAACTGTATATACGGATTTCTTTGTCGGTAGCACTGCTAACGAATAAATCACGCAACGGCGCGCATTTGATGCAAGTGATGCTACCTCCGTGTCTTTCATACTCGTCGATTACAGGATCTATAAGTGTGTTGTCTCCTGAAAAAAATTTTTATTGACATATTTATGAATATAGGACATTTCAAATAAAAATGTCGCATTGAGTACGAACCCTCGATAGGAGTTACACTGTCCAAACTACATTTATAAATTCCGCCGCATAACGTGCCAACGACGAATATGCTAGAATGCTTTGGAGAGAAATCGAAGCTCGTAATGCATAATCCCGCTTCCGCGGCACGTTCGCGTGTACCTCCGGCGCTGCGTGGTCTCGCATTTTCCACTGGATTACGTTCTTTGACTATTTTGAATCTGAAATATGATGGAGATCAGGAAGATTGTACGTAATTGTATCACATATCTGATAATATACCGTTTATGCAGTTGGGCGGTTGTAAAATTAGCTGTCAATTTATGAATTAGTATGTATCCATCCTTGCTGGAGGTTAACAGCAGAGTTACGTCATTTACCGATCTCGGTCTCCAGTACACTTGAGATACGCAATCGCCGTGCGTACATACGTGCGTTGGCGTGACAGAATCATCATTTCTAAGATTCCAGACCAATACTTCCCCTAAGAAAAAGCAAAAATTGCACATTTATTAAATGCAATAATAAAGTGTGAATGCAAAGTAATATTATGATTAAAATTATGGAAACTCACAATTGGACAATCCAGCTGCAAGAATAGAAGGTTCTGTTGGGTGATAACATAGTGTTGTGACACATCCGTTTGTCTCTAATGTTTTAGTAGGTGTATCTGTGAGATTATCCTCCACTGTAAGATTATACAGTTGAATTGTGGAAAGATGGTCACACCAAGCTTCGTGATAAATATGACTTAAGCCTACTGCCAATGTTCCACCGACAGTGCTCCATGATAAGTCACTTACTTTAATCTGAAAAATGTTTAACATTGTATAATATATGTTTGATAATTGTTTTATTAATATAATAATAATTTTTATAGGAATGCATACTTGAGTATTGGATTCTTTTGAAGTATTTATCTTTTTCAATAACGCTACAGTAGCGAAGGAACCTTCTGTAACATTAGGATCATAATCATCAAAAGCATTTGTTCCATAAGCTTCATCGAGAGCTCCCAGAATCCCAGGTGTTACTTTTTTTAAAAAACCTGCTAACTTGTCATAATCCACTTGTACATTTGCTTTTTCTTCACTTGTTGTCTGAATCTGGAAAGAATAATTAATACTACGTATCTAAAAAACTTGTTTCACAGAATGACATATAATAATAGTAGTATTTATAATGTAAATCTAATTATTTAAAATAATTTAAAGCTTATGTCACGTGAGAATCAATACAGAATATATGAAAGTTACAATCTTCTCGACAATATCTTAATTTGAATTTATAGAACATAAAATACTTATATTAAATATAAGTAAATTAGATCAAATTTATAAACTCTTATATTTAATAGAATATCAAAATTTGATTACATACTGCAACGCTTCTTGTTTCTGTGGTTTGCGTATCATCAGCAGCATAAACTATTTCTGTGGTTTGAACATTTGCAGATGTTTCTAGCCTAAAAGAAAATGATACATTTTACTTATTAATTAACACAAGAAACTATTTATTACTTTGAAATAATAATAAAATAACTCACTTCGTAGTAGACAATTCTGAATTGAAACTCACAACATCAAAGGACTTTGTGTTAAACATTTTTTAACAAAATCAATCTTTCCACACTTTTATCTCTTGTTTTAGAATTTAATTGTGTATTTACTCGTAAACAAAATGTTTTAGATTACGTTCTCTACGACTAATACTTGGTTCTCGCAGACGCTAATAAATATATGGCATATTTACGAGGAATCAGCTGATAGACCTACTTCCGCCATCTGTACTCTGTATTGCAAATTACGTTTAGAAACAAACAGTGCAATATTGAGTGAGTGAAATACTACTTATTTCTTAATTGTTTCTTAAACGTTTTCGAACTTTCAGAATGGATAATCTCTTATCGAAATTTATGTTTCTAATATGTTGTACTGATAGCTATTGGAAAACGGTGAGATATAAACTTGTGGTATAAACTTCTTTCCGGTCTCGTTCAATAGGGCTTTCAAACGAGACCACGTTCGTTTCTCTATCTGTTTTAGGCTCGGAAATATTTGACTTTTTCAATCTAACTCGGATTTTTTCGGATTCTCGCAATATGCATTATTTTTTAAAAAGTGGAACTTGTAATAAATTCTAAAATCTATGTTAACTATCTCATAAATACTTTGCTATAATTTAAGAGAATTCTTTGATTTATATGTTTTATTTAAAAACTCATTTATATTTAAAACATATTTGTTTAATTTTGTAGCAAGGACTCAATGCTTGATAAAACTGATTACACACAAGATAGAAGTATTTTGAACTCAAACATGTGCCAAATGCGTCTAAAATGTCAGGTCATGTGATAAGTGATATCTTATACTTTAATGCAAGCCTTGATCTCAATTGGACAGCATTATTGCACTTTATGAAAACTTGAAGTTTGATACTGTGTTCAATATGTAAGTAGAAAAAAATCCGCTGACAAAATTATTGTTACTCTAATAATTGCTAATAATAAAATTTATTAGCAGCGACAATATATAGGTAATTTGAGGTAGATATAAACTAAATATTAAAATGTTAATATTGTATATTTTAATTCTATAAAATGAGAAACAATTTATACAATTAATTTATAAAATTTTAATCTTAATAACAATACTGATATATATATCAACAATGAAACATAATTAGCAAAATAATCTAAAACAATTTTGAATAAACAAATTTCACACATCTCTTCTTTGGCATTTTATCTGAATAAAATTTCTTAATATTGTTATTTTAAAGTATAGCTTAGCTTATTGTTAGATTCAGATAAAAACATATATAAATAGATTAATTATAGAAAGTAAAGCCTGAGTTACAGTTTATGTCTGGAAAAAATAATCATTGATCAATTGTCTTGCGTCTCACTCTAATATATAGAAAAATGTTATCTGATGCCAAAATATTTAAAAATGCCGAATGTCAAATTGATACAATAACATAATAAATTTACAAGCTGATTAATTTTTTATAAACTTAACTATCAGCTTCATCTTTTGGACAGAATGTTTAGCTTATTTGTATGCTTTAAATGCAAAATATCTTTTACAAAAAACTGATATTTGATTTTTGTTTTAAGTATTCAATCTTCTCCAAGAAATTTTTCTATAAATGTAACATAGTTAATATTGCATTAAATTCTTATGTTTGTAGGCTGAACGCAGCGTTATTGTGATTAATATGCAACTGACAATACTTTTTCAAAATATGTATTTCACTTCAATTTATTCAACTGATGAAGAAATACGTTTTTAATTGCAAATGCCGGTTTTCTTGTTGCAAGATAATCCATCGGCGCAAGAGCACAGGATGAAATTAATATTTTTAACTTCCAATTGCGAATTATCCGGGTAAGTCAAGTTGGTCGTAATAGTCTTAGCATTGACTCGGCATTGTTCACCTTTTTGTTGGTACGGCATGCAAGCCGGCATAGCATACCTTGAAGGTCCTAAAATCAATGCAATATTGTCAAAGTTTAAAGTATAAATTTTAATCGAAAGTATGTTCTAGGCATCTGAATTTTTTTCTATTAATTTAGTATTACAATGCAAAAAAAATATAAGAAAAGAAAAGAGAATGGAAAAACAAACCTAGCAAACAGCAGAAATCTGATGGACATTCAGAATCGGTCGTGCATTGTTCTGAAGGAATAAGCGGGGGAGCTGCTATTGCTAAACTGATGAATAAGAGTGCAACCAAAATTGGCGACATGATTGCTGTTTGTTTCGACTTGACAAGCTGTGGAAAATGAGAAAATTGTGTTAAAAAATGACTCAGAGTAAGTCGAAGGAAACGTTTAGCGTTGTCACAAAATTTATCGCAATAATTTCAAATGTATAATAACTTAGTTTTAAATCAATAATGATTGTAAAGTAATGAAGACTTAATAACTATTAGTTGAATAATAAAATAAAATAATTATGTTTATTTAAAGATCTTAATTGAATTATTAACTTGATCATACGGCAAATCAATGCAGAATTATATTAGTATTGAATTAAAGAAAAAAATATCAATATCACATTACTATATAAATTGTATTATTGCACGTATAAAATTGTACTTTTGTACTCTAATTGTATTTACTGTGTCAAACAAAAATTCTCTTGTATAATTCTTTCCAGGAATTTTCACAAAGCAAACGTAAATTTTTGCTATATATGTTCATGAATTTTTAATCGCACTGCTTGAATCATGGATAAAAAAGGAACACCGCCTACGAGCTTCCTCGCGTAAAAACGAAAACGGACACGAGGTGTTACGAACCTGTAATGCTATTCGCGATCCGCACTTGTCGCACACTGCACGACGTATGACCGTGCGAAGTGATAGACGCATCATTTTATACCGCCACTTCATCTAGCTTCGCATTCTTGGATGCTTAAGTATGTATTTCCGTGCGCAAAATAGTTAAAGTTTTTTTATTTCCGCGTGAGATCAGCCGATTTTTAAGGAATCAAGTACTTGTTAATTAAATCGCTGTGTAAAAGCTTGGAAATTGCATTGTTAACAAGTTCGTGCGGTTTCCACTTGAAATCTCATAATATGACAAACATTATTAAAGCATCATAAATGGATGAGTTTATTGAAAAATAATCTTTTAAATTAAATGATTTATTGATTAGATAACAAAATGCACAATGCGAAATTCATTATAAACAAATATGTTTGAATCTATCAGTGATATGTATTGATAAAATAATTCTTACTTCTTAGTTTTGTTAAAAAAAAGCAATCAAAATCTCTTAAGATAATAATCTTTATTAAAAGTTGCTGTAATCAATGTTTTCTTTTGTTTTGCTATCAGAAACGGAAATTGTTAGAAACCCTGCGAATTTTCCAATAATAAGTTAATAAACATAAACGTGATGAAACTAATATTTCGTTTCTGTACTTATACGGGTGAGAAAGATATTTTTTTATACCTTCTTCCCGCATCTACCCGCATATATATTTTTATTTAAGCAATGTTTACATCCTAAATTAGAAAATCGCTGGAATTTACTAGAAATAAATTGTAAATAATTGTTACGTATTTTTATTTTATTTACGATAACTTTTATATAGAAATTGTTAATATAGGATTTTAGTGTGATTATTTTGACTTATAAATAAATTCTAATAAATTTATTATAACATTGATTGGAACATTATGTGATTAATAGAAATTAATAAATTTATTAATGATGCTGATTGTAATTGCCAATAAAGATTCGTAAGCCTTTAAATTATGTCATGGTTAGAAATGATGACGTGTTTACAGAAGGCAACGTGCGAGATCACTGATTAAGATAATTAATAATTCTCTTGGTTTGCATCATGCTTAAAATAAACATTTAACAACGAATAATCGGACAATTTGAAGTCTTTTTATGGGCATTGGAATATCACAATTGACGATTATCATCTTTACGTAACCAAGGATTCGGAATTTCCAAGATGCAAGTCCATTAAATGTGAAAAAAATGTTTCTGGGAAAATTCATAATCTTCTGCATCTTTTACAACACAAATCACTTAATATCATTATTCTACATTGTAATGCCTGTCGGTAAATATTTTACACATTTGTGCTTTGATTAATGCTCTTCTATGCCGAATTTTTTATTGCTTAGAATAATTTGTTAAAAAGAAATTTTATTTTTCGAATCAATTGTTAAAAGTTATTTCATAAGTATTTTTTTGTTTTCTCTTCCTAGATGACTTTTATAGCTCGAGCTATTATCAGGAGACTACCTAATACATTGTCTATACCTGCGGGTAATATAATAATTACATAAGAAAAACTAGCTGCAAAAAACGTATCTCTTCGTATATGTTGTAAAATATTTACACGAACTGTTTCAGTTTATCACAGCTTATGTAATTATATACTTTAGAATATATTATGACGAATAAGTCAACATATTTATGTACGAAAAGGTGAAAACTTTCGCATATGTGACAAAATGTGTTATGCATATTATATGTAATATTATATATAATATTGTTGAGTCCAGATATACTTACAGGGGGCATCATATTGCACTGTCAAGCTCGCAACTGGAAAAATATACATTTATTTTTATCATCATTACAATAAATACAAAATAAGGACAATACGTTAAAACAAGAATTTTTTTTACTCTGATTTAGCGCGAAAAACCTTAACTTTTTAAAATTGTTTAAAATATTTTACCGTAACATCTGTCTTTGAATTATGACAGTTTCGTGTTGACAATGCAATATCGTATTATTAATCAATAACAAAAAAATACACAATGTCATTTATATATTGTATATTCCATACTCTATTGACACATGAGCGTGTATATACAAAGTCATTTGTGAAAGTTTCATTACTTTTTCATATAAAAAATGAATCGTTACTAACTTACAGCGCTTGTTTCACATCGATTTACATACACAGACACCTTACTTGTTTCACATGCCAAAAAATTTAATATCTAATTATCTATCAAAATCTCATCTTACTAGACAAATCAATTACATATAACAATTACATGCTAAGTCTGCAGCTGTTCCTTTTTGTTTTTATTTCATAAGCGTACAGCGAGCGTTACATAATCAATATTGCTGCACCGTATTTCATATTGATCGTTTCATATGCAGACATATGTTTACATCTGTATTGTAGATACAAGGTATTGCATCAATATTGATCATGTAAGAGCTGCTAAGAATCACGTAAAAAAGAAATGAATTTTTCGATCAATCTAATAATGATACTTAGACAATGTAATTTTCATGTCACCAAAAACTGAATTCAATCATTCCATTCATTAGAATATATTATTAGTTAGGGAAAGAGTATTGATGAGGAAGGGAATAGTATCATCTTTCTTTCTTTTTTTTTTTTGGAGAAAATATAATCTTTTTCAACATTTCCATAATTAATATCCTGAATAAAATGATCAAATTCGGTTTTCAGACGTTCGTAACTGTGTGGTAAAAAATATATACCAGTCATAATTGTAGAAGCAAAGCCAAGAATTTAAAATCGTATAAAAAAAGTAAGAATTCATAGAAAGAAATCTAAACGAAATGTAACAATCGTAATATTCTTGAGAAACTATAATTTCCTTATAATCAGTTTCTATAGATATGATGTAGCAAAGTGTACATCATTGTTGTTATATATTTAAAAACAAAATAAAAAGAAAAAAACAAAACAGTAAGAAAAATATATTAGTTATTATTATTCAATAAGTGGCATTCTTTCTGGGGAGACCGTTTTCATTTTATCTACAATATATATTTATAATGTATTTATTCATATAAATTATTAAGACAGAGTTTTTCTATTCGATTTCCGTATCTCTGAATTCTTACGTATTTGTTATAAATTCTTGACTTTTGTAATCTTTGGATGCTGTTGTCTTTGAATTTTTAGCTTAATGAATTTTTAAATCCTTGAATTCTTAAAATTTGTGCGAGTGTGTGTGAAATAAAATAAGATAAAATTCTTAAAACTTTTGTACGTGATGGATGTAGACAAGTCAATTTTTAAAGCTTTGAACAAAATTCTTGAATATCTGAATCTTGAAATTACACTTCATTATTCACATAAATTTCGAAATTGTTACACATTTCGTGTCTTAGTTCTAAAATTATTCATTCTATAAAATCCAAATGTATTTATACACACACGCACACAATATGTTTATCTTTCAATTTCAAATATTTAGATTTCTGGATTTGTAAAGTTTTTAGTGAAATTTTTATACTCATAAATCAATAGTTTGCTAAGTTTTTTTAATGTGAGATATTTGGATTCACATATGTCTTTAGATATTTAAATTTTTTTAAGATCTTAGTTCTTTTAAGTTAATTTATATTTTCTATGAATACGCTATACAAAAGGAGTTTCCAAGGCTTTGACAATTCAAGAATCCAACTTCACAGAATTTCCAATTATATCATCTGCATGTCCATATGTCTCTTGTATAAAGGATGTATATAATTGATATTATTTACAATGTATTTACGCTTTAATCTATTGTTAATCTTTCATTCTATGATCAGTTATAATTCTGCGTTTTTAGATCCTTGAATTCTCACTCGTGAATTTATAAATTATTATGTTTCTCTTAACTCTATTGCTTTTCTTAATCTTTCAATTCCTATTCTCTTTATAAGAATTAAAGCTTAAAATAAATTTCCTACGCTTCTCGCAATACAAGAATATTGATACAAAATTTAAAGATCTATAGACAGATTTTGGCTTACAAGGATTTAAAAATACAAAAATCTATAAATTCGAGAATGTAAATCTCCAAAATATGTTCCTTCCATTGGCAGCTTCACATTTTTTAACGAATAGTGATGTTTATAGTTAATATTATTTACAATATTTATTTCGCAAATTAATAAATTGTTCGATTCCTAGATCCTTGGACTTTTGGACATTAGTTGCAGCTAATGCCAATTCTAATTACATTATCTACAATAAGCATATGTAATTCAATCATGCTTTAATTCTTGGATCTTTAAATATAAGACTTCAATGTTTCCGCTATCTTGGATCCTATATTTCCGCTATTGTAGATTTATCAATTTTGTAAATCTTCAGAATCTTGAATTTTTAATAGTACGACAATACAAGAACAACTTTGTATTCATGTGCTATTGACCTTAGAATTAGATTCTTGATTCTACTGTTTAATTCGGAATTTCTGATTCAGAAGAAGATTTCACAATCATCCAAGGACCTAAGTTTCCCGGACCGCGTTTTCCTTTCCACAGTTTTGTAGCTGTTTAACGTAAAAGACGACGGTACTTAATTTCGACATTATTTACATAACACGCATTTACACGATATGTTACAATCTTTTCTTCGGCAGTGAACCGAAGGCCGATATAACGGTAGGTTTGGCGCCGGTGACGGATGACGTAAGGGTCGTCAAGGTGGGTTGTGCGAGAAGTACAGTGGGCTTGGCTGTCGCGGCTGCTGCCGCTGCTGCCGCGACGGCGGCAGCGGCGGCAACGTTGCCGGTCGCCACTTGATCCCACTTACTTTTCCGTTTCTTGGCATCGATATCCTCAGCGCCGGTGGCGGAGCTATTGGGTCGCTTCGCGGTGCCGGACACGATCTCGATTTTTGTCTTTTCTTTGCGCGCCTTCTCGAGTTTTTCCATTTCCGTTTTCTGCACCATGGCAAGTTCCTCGTAGTACGAGTCCTTGGTCCATTTGAACGGGTCGAATCTGTCCGGCGGATAGTTGGTGCCCAGCTCATTTATGCTACAAAACTGAATGAGTTTTTCGTAAATGGAGGGATTCCGGAACTCCTTGCGTTGCTGAATCAACACGTTCATGTCCAGACCCCCACTTTCCATTTTTCGATATAACCTTGTGATCTTGTCCTGCAGTTCGGCGGGACATTGGCCTGGCGGTTCCGGCGGTATCGTCACACCGTAAAGATCCGCCGCCTCACCGCTATTATCTGAAAGCAATTCTCCGGGACGCGAGGAGGGCGACCGACGCTCAGCGCTGCCGACAGCGACGGCAGCGACGGCGGCAGCGGCGGCAATAGTGGCAGTGGCAGTGCCAGTAACGACCGCAGCCAGGAGACCATTCTCCTCTGGATGTTCCGCGGCTGTCGCGGCGATCGTCGCGCTCGTCGCCGTCAATAATGACGACGACGATGACGACGGCGCCGGCAGCGGCAGTACAGCAACGGCCACCCCCTCGTCATCGGAGACTACCGTGTCATCAAAATAAGAGACCAATCGCTGCACCTTTGTAGCCGCTTCCGGCAAGTCGCTACTACCGGCTGACTTGCCGACGGCGGGACTGTGCGAGGCTGAACGGCCTCCAGATATGGGACTGGTGCCAGATCGGGCCTGGGGCTGACGACCGACTTGGGCATTATGCGGGGCAGACCCCTGGGGAGTGATCGAATTCTCCTCCTGCAGGCGCTCGTCTTCCACCCCGTCCTCGCCCTCCGAGTCGGTATAGGTGGCCGTGAGAGATGCCAGAGCAACACTTTGTACAGACATGGTTAGTTGGCTTTGAGTGCCCGCCGTGCTACCAAGCGATATTTTGTGTGGGAACTCACCAGTCTGGCGTAGCGCGGCCTGGCCCAGCGCCCAGCTCTTGTGCCACGTGAGGGCTTTAGGCGCGGGGACAGGGAGGCTTTATTGGGCCTGATGGGCGTGTTGAGCTTTGATCGCTTTTAGTACGAACCTGGAATTATAACGTACATATTTATGAACATGTTACAAGAATAACTTTCGTATTAGTTGGATAATTCAAAGTATTGACACATTAGTGTGTCCAACTTTGTTTCATTGCTTCTTTTTTGTCATATTGTTGTTGTATTCATTGAAAAACGACGTGCAATGGATATATTGAAGAATATTTTGTAAATGATATCGTCATTTCTGTGAAAATTTTTTACCTAAACTAAAATTATTATTGCATTACTTTCAATGGATAAATTAATAAAATAAATAAATAAGTAAATGACGTAAACAAAGAATTGAAAAAGCATACAGAAACCGTCTAATTGATTCATTTGAGGTCAAGCTAACAAGCGGATTTTAGGTTAGATTCTAATTGATAACTCGAAATGTTAATGAAGAAAAAGTTTCACTCACCTCAAACTTTCCAACATCCACGATAACTGCCTTCAGTTGAAATCTGTTCCTTTACACACTATAATTCTTAATCCAATCGTAACTAAATACTCAATAAATCAAGATTACTCCACCATCGGCGCATTTCTTCCCGAGATACTTTGCGTTCGTAATGTCAGCGTTACAGTTCGGCCAATTTCGGAAGTGTTCGGTAGAATAATACAATAGGTATAAAACCAGTGACGCCAGATTTGAGATGCAAGCAGCAAATAGCATGAGAGAGGAAATATCGTACACAGGCGCGAACTACATACATGTGAGCTCCACGCTTTGGCTAACTTCGATTGCCGATATCTCGCTAGCCCAGAAAAGCAAGAAGATGATTGGTCACTGTACCGACTTCCGTCACGTGAACATGTCAACGCGTTCTGTGTGCAGAAGCTCTTATTTCAAGGGTCTCTAGCATCGCATGTGGCGCGCCATGGTGAGGTACGGCGGGCACTAGAAGCAAACGACTCCAATATGGCGAATGTAAGGGACAGCGATACGTCGTTGTGGCTGCATAACAAGCTTGGTACATCAAACGATAGCTGGACTGGTAGCTCAATTTGTTCGCAGCTCAATGCTGAGGTACTGCGGAACATCAAGGATTGTTTTCCCGATCTACAGACGCAGGTCAAGCTCAAACTACTACTGTCGTTCTTTCACATACCGAGACGCAATGTGGAAGAGGTAAGCGCGCGCTTGCTTGCACCTGATATTTTCGTATTTTTCAACGACCGCCGTTCTGTTGAATAAAAATAAACATAAATTCTTGGCATGTGCAAGATTAATAATACGTATAAATTTTTTAATCTAATATTTGTTTATCATGCACGCATTAAATTTATTTGATTCTTATCAATTGTGATGTTTTTGAGACGTTTAGTATAAGGGCTTCTATATAGTTAATATTTACGATTTTCTATGATTTCCTCATTCATTAGAACGGAAAAATTGTAACTGCTATATAAGACTTATGGCATAATTTGACTGTCCTGACTATTTTTATTATGAAATCTTGTAATAAACAAATCTATTTTAATTTTTATGTTATTAAAATTTTATTTTTAAATAACAGTGGCGTGTGGAGCTGGAGGAAATTATTGAGGTTGCATCTTTGGACAGTGAGCTATGGGTATCAATGTTATCCGAAGCGATGAAAACCTTTCCATCGACTGGTTCTTTGAACACAGACATTACTGATTTGGATGAACATAGACCAATCTTTGGCGATTTGGTTAATGAATTAAGGAAACTTCTGAAGAAGCAAAATGATCCCGCTATGCTCCCTTTAGAATGTCATTATCTCAATAAGACTGCGTTGACTTCAGTGGTAGGTCAGCAACCTACACCAATAAAACATTTTACTCTCAAAAGGAAACCAAAAAGTGCAGCTTTGAGAGCAGAATTGCTCCAAAAAAGTACTGATGCTGCTAATAATCTGAAAAAGAGCACAGCTCCTACTGTGCCAGTAAGGAGCAGAGGAATGCCAAGAAAAATGACAGATACAAGTAAGTATAAAATTATGAATGTATACTATATTAGTATCACTTCTCTGTGATGTATTGCATGACTGTATTTACTTTTTTCAGCACCTCTCAAAGGTATTCCAAGCAGAGTTCCAACAAGTGGTTTTCGATCTCCTTCACTTACAAGCACTTCTATGTCCAATAGAACATCCATCAGTAGTAGAATTCGAAAAGATGGCGGTATTAAATTATTGGACATTAATGAGCAACCTCTCGGATATGCGCAAGCAAAGAAGAGGAAGAGGATGTTGGAATTGGAAGAGCAGCAGAAGAAGGTTGCAGAAGCGCAAGCGGCCGCTGCTGCTGCAGCTACTTCTGCCGTCTCGCCAGCTGCAGAAACTCCAGCGACTCCTGAATACGCGCAGGGACTTGCTTCGATAAATCCACCTGCCACGCCAGTTGCACCAGTAGCAGTTACAGCACAGTCATACGTTGCGCCAAGCACACCAAGCAGCATTGCAGTTACAACCACAACGCAAACATGTAAGACCGGTATTAAACATAAAAACGTTACAGTTCTGCTGTTTTGTTTGGATTTTAATTAAGCCTTTTTTGTTGCAGCTACTACGCTAACTACTCCCACAACATCTATTACTGTACTACCTGTAAGTTCACCAACGGTGATAAAACCTGTGGAAACTACGCCTGTCGCTGTTCAAACTGTCAGACCAGCTCAAACAGTGACAGAGATTCAAAGTACTGTATATCGTATACACAGTACTGCGCAACCTAATGCAGCGGCTAACACAAGAAAAGGCCTGTCTCTTACGGTAAGTTGTACAAAATTTCACTTAGTTATACATACATATATATAGAGTTATAAATATAAGATTCTCACTATTTATCATGTTTCAGCGAGAACAAATGTTGGAAGCGCAAGAAATGTTTAGAACTGCAAATAAAGTAACACGTCCAGAGAAAGCTCTAATCTTAGGTTTTATGGCTGGCTCTAGAGGTATGTGTATATAAATTTTTTATGTATTTTATATATATATTATAGAGAGTAAGTTATACATCCATAATACCATTGGTTATTTTATTGGCAGATAATCCTTGTCCAAAATTGGGCAACATAGTCACAGTGATGCTATCGGAGAATATAGAGGAAGTAACACAATCAGACGGAACAACTGTTCCAATGTTAGTGGAAACGCACTTCCAAATGAACTACACGAATGGCGAATGGAAGAGGATAAAGAAGAATCGACGTATCGTGACGGAAGAATCTACATCAACATCTACTCCTGGGCCAAATGCTACCGCAACGGCTTCCAATTGAAAATACTTGTTCAGATCGATAATATAATAGGATAGAATCTATAAAATATCATAATATTTTGTGATTATGAAATGACGCACATTGTGATCATTCGTCTTCTTAGTAAATTGCTAAAGAGTTGCATTGGATTAAGAACTGATTCACGTTTTATAAGATTTAACAAAAATTGTTACTTAACGCAACTCTCAATTGTCATGTTTGTTATTCCCATCATCATAATGAATTCCACATCATAAATAATTCCTTCATACTTTTACATCACTACCTTATATTTTGCAATGTATATTATATTATTTTCGGTAAAATGAAAATAATTTTTCATAAAAGTTAGTTTTCCGAGTATTTTTGTTTAAGAGTATTTTTTTAGTACATTTATGTGAGTATAGGTTTATAATACATTTTAATTATATATAATTTGGAATAACAATGCAATGTGAATAATCGAACACTTGACAATGTGATTGTTATATCAATATCTATATATGTATACATTTATGTGCATATATATAAATATATATTTACTCATATTTAATATGTTGAATATATATTTTAAAATAATATTTGAAGAAACGTGATTACATAAATATCTTACCAGTAAATATTATTATTCAATGGTTGGGCAATCGGTTTCAGCGCATAGCCAATATTTCTACTATAATTGAGCAAGTGCTACCAACTTTCATATTTCTGATCTTACAATTATTTCTATGTAATATGTCGTAAATAGTTTATTATATTAATATTGCAATATTTAGCACATTATTTAGCAAAATTTATGGATTTTTCTTATGTTTTACGGAATTATCTAGAGATTTTTTAATAATTATTTTACGTTGAACTGCTGATCGTGGAATTTCCGCATTAGTGGAAAAGGTTGGCAAAACTTGCTATTTACATACTATAGTTCTACGGTTCTACACTGTCCAACACGTTGTACTAACAATTGCACAGCAAATTTAGTGCATATTTTCTGTTTTTACAAAATGTTTCGATTATTCACTTCGTTATATCCGCAAAGTAGAAAATTGGTAAGCTTATTGAGTTTATATATTCCATTATGTCTTAAATAAAATCATTTAAAAAGTTTTTTGCCAATCGTTACATGAAATTATGGTTATAATGCAAGTTGTTCATCTTGATATAAATAAAATTTTTGTCTCTTCAATCTATTTACAGCTTGTCACTGCAACTAGTTCTTTATCCCAAAATAAGCAAACGTTATTGGCAGAATGTATTCGAAATTTCACAGTGAGTTCAAAGCTACATAATTGGCCACAGATCCAAAAACCTGCACCAGAGTTTTCTGGTACTGCAGTAGTTAAAGGTGACTTTAAGGAGATTAAGCTGAGCGACTATAAAGGAAAATATGTTGTTCTGTTTTTTTATCCATTAGATTTGTATGTAATTTTCTTTATATTATTATTTGAAATATTTTTCTTATAATATAATACAGTTCTGTATATTTTATTTACAGCACATTTGTTTGTCCAACGGAAATCATAGCATTTAGCGAAAAAATCTCAGATTTTGAAGCTCTCGACACTCAAGTGATTGGAGTTTCAACGGATTCACACTTCAGCCACTTGGCATGGATTAATACTCCCAGGAAACAAGGTGGCCTTGGAGGAGACTTGGGCTATCCCTTTTGAGCGATTTTAACAAGGAGATATCAACTAAATACAACGTTTTATTACAAGATTCAGGAATTGCACTCAGAGGTTTATTCATCATTGATAAAGAGGGAACTCTTCGACAGCTTAGCGTCAATGACCTTCCAGTTGGTAGAAGTGTCGAGGAGACATTGAGACTGATCAAGGCTTTTCAATTTGTTGAGAAGCATGGGGAAGTGTGTCCTGCAAATTGGCAACCAGATTCCAAAACCATCAAACCAAATCCAAAAGACAGTAAAGAATACTTTGAAACGGTTAATTAAGCATGCATTTTATTTAAAGATAGGCATATGTACAATACCGTAGATTATAACGTAATATAATATGAAATAAAATAGCTGTAATACAATAAAATTATATATTTCTTTGTATAAAATAACATTTGAAATATATATTACATTATAAAAACAATGTGCATAAAGATATTTATATTGGTATGTGTTTTACAATTTTCCACATATTTAAACAATGAAAAAGTTTCATATTTAAGTAATGAAAAGAATAATTGGTCTAGGTTGGTGTTGTACTTTGCTTTATTCGTTATTTATGGATTCTGCTTAGATATCAGTTTTTGCTCTATTAAAAAATTGATAAATATTGGAAACCTGTATTCAATTATATAAACTATCAAATAAAATTTTATTCACATAATTTATTTTTTTTAAGTAATGTGAAAATCATGAATTTATAATACCGCAAATTTGTAATACCGCGGTAAACACAAACATCGATATATCGAGATATCATTGATATTTATCGATAGTTAACTCTGTACGCACCATCTTACGGCAGTTATTTTTTTTAATTCGGAAAGCACGCAAATAATGAGTGCTAATTTTTGACAAGAATGACGATTAAAAGTGATAGGTGATTGTTGGGACATATTATTTATTATAGATGTTCACGAGTAAAAGTGTTCAATCTATACCATGAATGCAACAAGTGCGATTTTAGTGAGTATGCAAATTCCGATGCAACGGACACGTTACGGACGTGCTATGTATTTATTATTAGATGTAGCATTTTAAAAGTTCAGCTCATTGGAATTAAAACATAATTGTTGTTCTGCGTATCCGTATATACTGACTTCGGTATGATTGCAAGTCATTTTATTCGTCTCCTTCATTCTAAATATGACTGTAGGTCACGCTCGCGTTGCATGCTCCAACATATTCCAATATGCTTCAATCTAGTATTACGTTACTATAGATTGGAGTGTATTGGAGCATGTTGGGGTAAGCGAACAAATCTTGTACGAGACGATTGAAATCGATCAAATGCTTTATCATATGAAATTGTATCTGAACTAACTTGAAGCAAGCGCTGTGTGTTTAGGTTGGTAAAACTTTGTGTGTTAAAATATTTGTGTTGCAGTTGGTAACAGTATTAAATGGACCGTTGAATACGTAAAGTGTTAATATCTATTATAATTACGCGCGTAAACGCGTTACCGAACAAAGTGTTTTGTACATCGCGTTTGTGTTTCATATATCATTATAAATTTGTGACGTGAAACCGTGAGGTAAACGAAACGTGCGGGTATTTCATTCGATAGTGCTTATAATTAGTTGATATTGCGCGTTTGATAGTGCATGTGTAAGTTATAAGTGCGAGTTTTCGATATTCATCGATTTTCGTTGATGCGGAGTTGCTGCGAAGCAGTTTAAGGCAAAATTTGGAGTGAATGCGGAGCAAAGTATGACATCCTAGCTGGTAAATATAATTTTACATTTATTATTAAATATTTATAAAATTGTGACCTAACCTACACAAACAAATATACAAGTACAATTATATATTGTTTTATAACATGATGTATACTTTTCATATCAGACAGAATAGTTAAACTAGTTTAATAATGTGGTCTAATGTGAGTATAATAACCTTTAACAACCTATTATCTATATAAGCTTGTGGCTTGAACAAACTGTAATACTCCTATACAACACAGAACATTGCAGCAACATTGCGTCAATGTTCTGTGCTGTATGGACTGATGAGTGCAATTATTTATTCATTATTCAAACATGTATGCAATTGTCATAATGAATATGACAATTGCATACATGTTCGAATAATGAATAAATAATTAATTGTGTTGTGTAATACATAATACAAATAATACATATTATGTTGTGCACACAGTTTAATTTGTTTTTTATATTTATTGTATACTTACATTTATTTATTAAAATTGTTAAATAATTATTTATGGCATATAGCTGTTAGCATATTTAATTAAAATAAATTAAATAATATGTAATAATTAATGTACATGTTAACTATTATAATTTATAATAACTAAAATATATATTAATTTTTTCAGATACAGCAAAAGCGTATTTTTGGTTAGAGTACAACGACTGGTGTAAGTAAATTAATTAATGCTATTTATGCATGATGCGTCTTCTTTTTTGCCAATTTTTATTGCTAAAGACCGCACTTTGACAATTATATTTTTTTGCAGTTTACATTTTACAAGTAAATAACAAAATACAAATATATTGTTTTCTGTCTTAACAAAACAATTTTTTTATTTTGTACAATTTATGTATGCAATCTATTACTTTCAAATTAGCAAATTAGAAAATTCTGTGAAATATAAATTATATGAGCATAAATGTAGAAAAAAACGTTTACTGAATTACAAATGATCAAAAATATAATTAAAAAATAAAAATTCTGAAAATATAATTTGAAAATATGATGTTTAATATAATATACATGAATATATTTTGTGCTTAATTTTGTTAATAAGTTTAATTAATAAGTTAAAATTGAATGTTTTGCAAAATAATGAATTGTGAAAGTACGGTTTTAGATACGTAGTTCATTATTATGAAAAAATCATGGTTATAGATGTAATTATCTATTTAGTAATTGATATAATTGATTCGCATTTATGAAGCATATTCACTGATTCATTTTGTCGAACCGTTTTCTTCTTTTGTGTAAAATTTGAGTTATTCGCGAAAAACAGTAATTTGGTATACTATCTTTTTCTTATTGTAATTTTATAATTATCTAAACAGATTTTTGTCAATTAATCTTTAGCTATTGATTATTTATAATTTAGTTGCAACAAAGTATGTTTAATCTCACATTTATATTTACGATAATATATATATTATGACATGATAAACTCGCCATTAGAATTCATGATTTTCGCGTTCTATTAAAAGCACATGAATTGACTTTCATTTGATAGTTTACGTAATTAAATGCGGGTTTTCGATATTTATCAATTTTTCAATGAGTTTAATGTAAAATATCAAACGGAATCCGTTACAAGTAAAACTACTTGCAATACTTTAGTTGGTGAGTACAATTATTTTGTTTATTATTATATGTACAATCAAATGTACAATAATATTTGATGTATTTGTACTTATAAACATATTTACGATTACATATGATATGCAATTTATTAATTTTTTTCATTTTTAATAAGCATAATTTAATATTGAATTATACAATTAATTATAAAGGCAAAATTATTAATAAGAAAAGAAAAAAACATGCTTTTTAAATATTCCAGAAATTGAATTGTTAAATGTAAATGCATTGAATACTATTAATCCATCTGATTATACATATATTTATTTATATGGTTTTACATATATAATGTGTTTTTATGCTTTTATGCGAATTTATGTACAAATTTGAAAGTGAAAGAAACGATGTACAGGAATATCTGTACATTTTTACAAAAGGAAAAAGGATATACATACGTAATAAATTAAGAGGTGAAGAACTAAATAAATGGCGGAAAGAAAAAGCAATCTCGTGACTGCAAATTAGATTTTTTATAAATAGAGAAAATCGTAAAACGGATATTGGGCCGGGTTTTTCTCGTTTTAGATCGCAATTATTAAATTCGTAAACTATAATGTCTGAAAATTTGAGCAGTTTAAACAGTAAAAAAAATTGGAGTAAAAATAGTGTTTTTATATTGGAAACAAAAGTCAACAGCATTCATGTTGATAATATCAACATTTTTTTATTGAAAATTCGATAAAATTGATTTATATTATATTTCCAATGCATATATTTCTTGCCTGTTTTTCCTATTAATAATTTATCAAGGTCAAGAGACTACGAAAGAAAATGAGAGAAAATAAAAGAAGACGTATTACAAAAGTATTAATATTACACAATGATGCGATATCTCACGTGACTGCGGAACAGCAATTAATATCTTATAAGTAACAAATAATAAATAAATGAGATAAAATACTTACCTACTTTAAATTTTGTTTTGCCAAAGATAGATGCTCTTCGGATCTCTTTTTCTTCTCTCAGCAATCCATCGATGGCTGCTTTTTTATGGCACTTATAAAATAATTATGATCTCGCGATATTTTATACGGTGTTTTCTCTCGACGCAAACTTTGTTATTATGATGAAAGAAAAACTAAAAAAAAACATGAAATCGCACAGAGCTACAATGTAAAAATGATACGAAACGATTTTCTGCTGCCGTCTATTCTGCTTGAGTGTATCGTAAGGTAGCAAGATGATAATGTGCAAATAACAGCACACGTATATGATAGTGTAGATTACGAAAAATCAAAACAATCACCGAATTGCGCATTAAACCATTTCGATGCTAACTCGCGATGTCGATTATTTGTATTTTTTTGTAATTTAAGATTCGGCGAAGCTGTTACGTTGCTGTTGTCTGATCATTTCTTTTTCGTTTTCTGATCATTTGCGATTTCGATTTTTCTTGAATTTTTCCTTAATCATGATGTGATAAAATTCATATCAGAAAACTGGTTAATTGTTTGGTACAGTAGAAAATTTGAGGTCGCAATTAATTACTTTATGAGTGTCATGGAGAAGCAGATTTATGAATCAATGAACTATTGAGAAAAGAGGAAAATCCGGGTGGCATCAGATTTCGGTAAAGCAAAGTTTAAAGTAAGCAATTTATCATTTATTTGGTATTTATTACATATTAATTATTTCTGCAGTAGTCACGTAGAATTTTGCATCGTTGTGTAATGTACATATTCTTGTAGCAAGTAGATAAATATGACGATTTGAAAGACATTTAAAGAAGTATTTGATAAATAGATATTTATAAAATTTTATAAATGTTTAATATATATCTATTAATTTATTTGATAAATTTCAATCTTCTCAATTTTCTTTTTCAGTTTCAAAATTTTTGGATTTTTAAAATTAGTTTAAATAGTTTGAACATAGCTCAAAAAACATTAGTTCAAAAAGTCTGAATTAATAGTTTGCGTTTGATTTTAACATCTGAACTATCGAACTGTTCGGCTATTTGAAATTTCCGAGCATTAATATTTACATTCTTTATGTACACTGACTTACATTAATCTGGTTTATTCTGAAAAT